ATATGATATTTTAGAGAAACTTTCATATAGAAAGTTTTTTACGAAAAACACCGTTTACTAGTTTAAAAAATATGCCAAAAAATCTTAATCTTCATCCACTCTTTTTGGAGAAAAGAACAGGACATTGCTCCTTTGCAGCTGATGCACATTGCACAGCTAGGCGCGGCCGCGCGGATACCGTTCTGCCCTGCACCACTAGGCCGGCCGGCAACATGTTCTTCGTTTCTGTGATCGTCGGGACTCGAGAATTGGATTCTCCCTCACATTAGGCGGACGAACAAGCCATCCCGTCCATCCAAATCGCTGGATGCGACGCTGCTTGACCTTCTCGTCATCATTCATCAGTGGGCTGTCTAAAGCGGTTTTCTTCGTGGAGGGCTTTCCCGGTGCTGGCTGCCTTTACCTTTCATGAGACCTGGACACATCGACCAGCAAGGTAAAGGTACGACAAAAGGAGGTGAGCAACGTTCCTCCACTAGCCCACGTGTCCTCTCCTGTGGCTCCCACGACCGGGGTAACCGTGTCACGCTGTATATATCCTTTAGAGCTTAGGTTTGACACTTTAGTGAGACTACATATAGAGCAAGTTAGATGGTACTAGAAAAGGGAATTACCGTTGGTTTTATTTTGAGGCTGTGTTTAGTTCCCTTCAAACTTCTAACTTTTCCGTCACATCAAATATTTGATATATGTATAGAGCATTAAATATGGACAAAAAAAACCAATTACACAGTTTGTATGTAAATTGCGAGACGAATCTTTTGAGCCTAATTATGTCATGATTTGACAATGTGGTGCTACAGTAAATATTTGTTAATGATGGATTAATTAGGTTTAATAGATTCGTCTCGCAGAGTTATAGAATTGGTTTTATTATTAGTCTATATTTAATACTTCTAATTAGTGTTTAAACATCCGATGTTGCTGTATCTAAACAGGCCCTAGGTTACATCGTTTCTCTAGGGTTCCCTTTTTCTTGGGTTTCTTTGCCGGGTCGGCCGAAGGAAATATCATTTTTCTAGGTGTCTTTTCGTTTTCTGAGGGGGCGCTCCGTTGCACTAACCTGTGCTGCTTTGAACTCTGTTGGCTCGTCCTATTTCTATGTGCGTGAGCTGCTGATTTCTCTGCTCTTTATAAAAGTCGACATAGGTGATGACGGTTCATGGGATTTAGAGTCGCACGTTTGTTTTTTTTTTTTAACAAATTGGAGGGTCATGCATACACGATACTGACTTATAAAATAGTATACTTAAGATTTGAAGGCTTAACTTCATAAGGTGCACGGACGTGTTTTGACCATCACACATGGACTTTTTGAGACGCAAATATTACGTATGGAACTAATATTAAATAATTAGAAGGGGTAAAACTTTGAACCCAAATCGTCTAACCCACCACCTTGTAGAGCTAGCCGAAAGATCCCTATGCGTTTTTTACTTTTTGAGATTAAATCCTAATAAAAATATGAGCACATGTGTCAAATTTGAGACCTAAACCTAGGTGACCTTGTGGATAGATTTTATAATCAAGGATTATGAACAACTGAATTATGCCCAGTTGATATCCATTATATTATATATGGCCTTATCGTTCCGCTGATTAGAGGAATAGGCCAAACGACATATTTACAAACGAAAAAAAATTGAATTTTTTATATATGTGTTCTCAACGATTTAAAAGCAAAGATTGAAAATAAATTTCGATTCAAAATCACAAAATCAACTCCAAATTAAGATTGAAAATTTAAATTTTGATTGATAAGTATAACCATGTATAAGCGAAACAATGATGCTTATATTACTTTGGGAATCTTGTAGTTTTTTACCAAGCTCTTTTCACGTGGTAATGTCGGCTGCATGCAATCGCACTCTCAGATACCCTCTTTTCGTTTGGTTTCTTAAACAGAGCACTTGTATATTTGATTTACTTTCTTGTGAATTTCGTATGAAGCACTTCCTCTTCCTCAAAATATAACCATGTTTAGGATTTAAAATCTGTACCACAGTAATGTTTTAGGCAGTGATTCCAATTCAAAGACGAAATATATGCAGTTTCAATCAATCAAGTGGTTGGCAGAGGAATTTAAGCAATTTTAGAATTCAAAATTTGATCATTGAGTAATCTTAATATTTGCCAAACAATTTAGAAATGCTCATATTTTAAGATAAAGGGATGCTTATATTTTAAGATAAAGTCATGATAAAGTTCCATGACGCATTTATTATTCTTTTTCTTTTTAAATTGGAGAGGCACTTCAAATCCAAGAGAATTGCTCGTATTTACGGCTACTTTTTTTTTCAGTGGTAGGCAACGACGTAACCATCATAGTGACTAGTGAGATACGGTCATTTCGTTAATTTTAAAATATATTGTGCAGTCTTTTGAGATATTTATAAAGATATGGTATGTGTGCACGTTTGTGAACACCTGCGTTTGTCTTGTATATTTTTGAAAAATGGTACTACCGTGCAATGGTGCTGTTGGTGCAAGCATGACATAAAAGCACATGGCGGTGATGAGCTCGTCTCAAGGTGCGCAAATGCAAATCCATCCAACAGCCAAACCTAAAGATCAGCGTAAGCAAATGGCCCAAAGCCCATGGGCTTCGTAGAGGGCGCGGCCCAATCTTGACCCATTCTGCTACTCTAGGCCCTCCCAGCCAGAGCACTAGAGCAGTGCAGCGCGGCGGCGACTCGGCGCCGGCGTCGCCTCCGTGGTGGAGCTCGCCGGCGGAGGATGCCTCCACCGTCCCCCGACCCCGCTCCTCGCCGTCCTCTTCTGTCAGTTCCTATATCCTATCATCCTTGTAGGTTACGATTTTTTTTCCTTCCACATTTCTTCGAATTTTCTTATAATCATGGTGCTTAGTTAGGGCTCAACACAATGCCCATGGCCGATAGACGTTTACGCGAGCGAGCACTGGAGCGCGATCCTTTCTCCGTTCGTGTGATGAAGATTGTTCGCACACTGCACACGGCCTAAGCGATGTCGATAAATTTCTCCCTTTGCACTTTTGCTTTGCCAATCGTGATTTGGCCAATCGGCTCGAATCAATGAACTAATGTGGAATCTCTAAAAAAAGCTTGATAAATTCCTCCTTTTGCAGTTTTGCCAATCGTGATTCGGGGTCAATCGGCCCGAATCAATGAACTAATGTGGAATCTCTAAAAAAGCTTGCACGCTCTGGTCCTTGTGGCACGTGAGCACTCAAGCTTCTCCTCATTTCAGGATGAACTCCTTGAGCCTCCCCAGGAACATCACCAGGATAACTATCAGCTTACCCTCCTCGGTCCACCTGCCGACGAACCCGTAGGAAGCATCTTTGCAAGTGGCATCAGGCTTCAACAACTTCTGGCAACTGTATCCTAGTGAGTAGCCTACATTGCCGAAAGCGCTGTGGAAATAAAATGGCGTTATTTCTGTTTGCTTGTAAGCAACCAAAAAAGAAAAAAAAATGACAGGTCGTAGATTTGATATGTTCTTGCAAATTTAATTATGCTGGTTCAGTGGTTCTTAGTGATCATACTAGGCAATTCGGATTTTCAGTGATGTAATTTTGATGTAGCCATAGTTTCTGTTATGGGCAGACAAAAAAAAAAGGATGTGAACTTGCCTGATTATCTCAAAAACTATGCTGAAGATGTTGAAATTTAGTGGATCAGAAGAAATTGACTTCCTTTCTGTTATGCATGCCAGGAATGTGAACATTGCTAAACAAGAAAGCTTGTTAACGGTAAAATTCCTCCACAGTGCTCTGCTAATCGAGTTTGTCTTTTTATCTGTCAAGGGCTGGTTATCAGCATTGGCAGTGAGAAATGAAGCATCGGAAGGAAGGTACCTGCAAGCAAGTTGATTATCTGTTAACAAGGAGTAGGAAACATGCTGTTCCACATAAAACATGTTGTATGCTGCCTACTTTTCATTTAAACCCTTGTCAGAAGTTCTGTCCTATTTGTTCAAAGTAGTCTCACTTTCTCTATTCAACAGTAGTTATTTAGATGCAGATTTGAAGTTCATAACTACTATTTCGGTGACGTATAAAATCGATAAAACCTAGCAAGCTGCAGTGGTCATGAATGCATGTGTTTAGTAATCTTCAAAGTTATAAATGATGAAGCTATCAAATTTTCCAACAGTTTCTCCTGATAATTTGTTATGTTCCTGTAATAACTAATCTAAGTGTTCTACTGATTTAGTTAAATTCATTAGAAGACAGGGTTTGGAGGAGATACTAACATGACGACTGCAAATAGCAACAGAGTTGATGGAGAAAGTGTTGATATATCAAGGATAGATTCACCGGCTTGTCTTGTATTAACACTCTGGAATAATAATCCTACCAATTTCTGTAACCAATTCATTCCCTCTAAGCTCTCTGAGTTCCACTCAAACGAGCAAATAAACATTACTTGCAGTAGAATCAGTCCAGTAACACTCAGAACAATGTAAACAGAATTTCTCCTCACATGCAAATGTTTGTAGCCAGTCTCCCCAGGATGCTGAAGGATGTAAGCATACTCTGCTTTTCCACTGACCTTCCCCAAAACCCATACGCATAGCCGCAAGAGTGGTGAAAACAAGGTGTTGCCTGCTAGAATCTGCGGGATCACTAGGAGCAAAAGGACCCAGTTCTTTCTGAAGGGTTGCATGTTACTATTTAGTGGCGTGAAGCCACAGTTTGCGAACGAGGACACTGCTGTGAAGATGCAAAAGGTATACATATTGATCTCCTTACTTTTCAGTACATTTCTTGCATCTGAATCAATCCAAAAGTAAATAATAATGATGACAGAACTGGAAATGACAGTAGCTACGAAATAACCTGTCACTATGCGAACCAACACAGCGCAAGGATTATATGTTATGCTTTTGTTTTGCTGTACCTGGTTTTGCGACATAGTTTCTTCTGATTGGCCACATTCCGTAATTTTGTGATCCCCATTGTTTGCAGGACTGTTGAATTCAATGTCCAAGCTGATTGAAGGTAAACTTCTCTGGCTGTTCTCATTTCTGTTGGCATTGGCATTGTTGAAGTAGAGCCCTAGCATTGATGTGAACACCTCTCCTCCCATTAGCATCAGAAGGATCAGAACCCAGAGTTGCCTGTCAGATAAGTCTTCCATCTCTACTGTTGCCATGCTCGAGACAGTAAGTGTAGACACAGAGGTGAACAATAGGTCCAAATCCTTTGGACCTGGCTTACCCTGGGGCTTGAGATTCTTCAGAGCAAGGAAACCAGCAAATGAGATTATCACAAAGTAAACGAGCTGAACTACCAAAGGGTTACTTTTGCAAACCAGAAAACTATAAGATTGTTTGACAGAACTTGCCACACATCTGGCTCTGGAAATGAGCTTCATGGACAGGAACCCACAGAGATGCTGAGCTTTCTCCCAATAGATCCGAGGCACCTCCGAATTCGGTAACAGGAGCTTCATGGCTATGTATAGTTTGATACGCTTCAAGGTATCTAGCACTAAACTTGGTGGATGCATTCTTCAACAAATTTTTTGGGCTTATAGAAGGTGGTATTGGAGTTGGCAACCCATAGTGTGTTTCAATGGCATATTTGGTAGGTTTCTAATATTGTTGGTACTTGTGTAACGCTGCCCAATGTGAGGATGCTCTGAGCTTAATATGTAGGATGAAACAATCAACATTGGTGGTGTGTACTTTTTAGAGTCCCAAGTGTTTGGTCTATATTTGTAGCAAGAGGAGTACGTTCAGTTCGCACAACAATGATGCTGATGGTACCTTAGTTAGCATATTTTGTGGCTGTGGAACAAGCCAATCCAGGGATTTTTGGTACTCCGAAAAGGACTCGTGGCAATTTTTCCTACAACAACACTATTCTCTTGATTAAAATATTTCATTTTTTTTTTGTTACAGATTGGTCTATGTGATTCCCTTCTTCCTGAGCAGTCAAGGAAGTCGCTACACTTGCCAGTGAAGTTGGTCCATGCATCTGTGTGCAGCAGCTGTAACCTATCGACAATTCGGGACCTCATCCGCACTGGTAAAATGTACAAGCATTAACACTAGTGTCACTGAATGTTTTTTTATATTCTTCTCTCTGATCTGAACAGTTCAGTTCAGACCCCAGTTCAGTCGGAATGGATACAGCATGCAGGTGAGATTGGCAAACGGCAATGGCAACTGATCGATCGAGCAGCCGAAAGCTTCGATGGACCACTGTTTGAGTGATCGGACAATAATGCAGTGGATCACGCAGCAATAATTGAGAGAATTTTTTTCCTTTGGGCTCCCCGATTTAGTGGCTGGGAGAGCTCATGTGCGGACAATTCAAATCCGTCAGCTACTACGCGTTGGTTTGTGCTTTGATTGGCTCACCATCTCTTCTACTTCTGTATGTCTTTTGCCTCGCTGAAAATCTCAGCTGCTATTGAGCTCCCAATTGTGCCACTGACAGGTACATGTAACTGTTTCTTAACGACATTGACGCGCTCACGCGCATGCGCCGCTGCACTGGACACGCATTGCACGCTGCCGCTTGCTTTCTATGGACTTCAGTTAAAGCTTGAGCGTATGGCTGAAGAGGAGTAAGAGAAAGTCAGAAAGATTTTATCTCGACTTGTTAGCACGTTTTTCCAAATTATTAAACTTACCTATCAAATGGTATGTTTCGTTGAAAATTGTCTTTGCTTTAAAATATCAAATAAATCTATTTTTCATGTTTAAAATAGGGAGAATAGCTAATATGGTCACTAAAGTTTCGCTCCTGGGTCATTTTAGTTCTTAATATTTTATATTGTCCAAACAAGTCCTTTAAATTTGTCATGTGGGCTAATATAGTCCTTGGTCCCACCAAAATCGCCACATGGACATGCCATGTCACCTTCCTATGCAAAATCTATATGATTTGTCCAATTTACCCTTACGCATAGGAAAATAAAAAACAAAAGGAAAAAGTTAAAAAAAATATATGGTATATGCAAGAGCAAAAATATACCTCAAAATGGTGAAAAAAGGAAGTATTTTTTCCTATGGTTATGTCTAATTCACCCTTATATTTATTTTTCTATGATATACGTAAGGGTAAATTGGACAATTTATTATAGATTTTGCATGAATGATGACATGGCATATCCATATGATGGTTTTGGTGGACCCAAAGACTATTCTAGGTTTTATGACAAAGGTTAAGGATTTATTTAGACCATTTAAAAGGTTAGGGACTAAACTGATCCTACAGAGAAACTTTAGGGACTAAAGTAGCTATTATCTCTTTAAAATAATTAAAACTTAGGACCTGTTCAGATAGATATCATTTCAAACCATACCAATTTTTGGTAAAATTGTGAAAATATGTGCATCTATTTAGTTTCTTACTAAACTCTGATAAATAAGTAAGAAATCCTACTAAAACTTTGGCAATATTGTCAAATTGCCAAAAATTTGGCAATACCAAAATTTGGTAAGGTTTATTTTGGCTATAATCCGAAGAGACCATTAATTATTCATGCACTATAGTTCAACTTTAACCTGTTTTTTCCACAGCGGTTTTAAACTGTTCAACCAGCATTTTGCCAGGATATTTGACACCCTCTCAAGGATCTGAGGTTGGTAGAGAGAATGGATTTGGCTAACATGGAGTACCGGCCAGCATGTATGACAGATGTGGACACGGCTATTTGATCGATGATAGGTAACATGATGTGGAAGAAACATGATCTTTGTTTCCTTCTGCTGATCAATAATCTTTGCGTATGTGGATGCCGCCCCCACGATATATGGACGCACAACTAGCAGTGAACAAAAAAGTTCGAAGCTGATGACTCCGATCCTCTCGAATTCGTTGTTTTAATAAGTAAGCTAAGTTAGCTGCTCATAAATTGCCCGGATTGATTTTCTTTACGGAAAGGCTAACGATATATTGACAGAAAATCTATCTCTAAATCTTGCAGATTTTGAATCACTGGATGAACTTTGCGATTCGTGCTCCAGGCCTTATCCTCCAACTCCGGCGACCTCCTCTTCTTCTCCGGCGCCGGCGACACCCTAGACTCCGGCAGAGGACCCTACGGGTTAGGGTACTAGGTTGGGATGGGGGTGGGAGGGGGAGGGGGAAGAGAGAGGAGTTAGAGGGATGGCCGTGGGAGGCGGCACGCNGACNGGTGGGCGGCGAATCCAATGGGTGACGTAGCGGCGACCCGAAAGCTTGCGGGGTCAGAAGCTGGCGGTGGCCCGGTGTAGGCGGCCGGGGGCAAAGAGGAAGGGTGTGTTAGGAGGAGGCGGCCGGTGGTGGCACCCCGCCGTCGGAGAGGGNAAGACGGCGGTGCAGGGACAGCTCGCCGCCATCCGCTTAAGGAAAGAAGAGGAGAGGGAGGGAAAGGGGAGGGGGCCAGCCGGGGGGGGGGGGAGGGGGGGCTCGACGGCGCCTTGACAATTGANCTTTTGGCCAGCCGCAAGGCGGGCGGTGGCGGGGGATNCGCCGTGTGTGGATGCCCNNGGGAGGATGGCNTGGGAGATGAACGAGAGGAGGGCTGCCGCCTCCCACAGCCATCCCTCTAAGCCGGCGAGCTCCCCCCTCTTGCCCTCCCCCTCCAACCCCCACCCCAACCCGGGATCCTAACCCGTAGGGTCCTTTGCCAGAGTCTAGGGTATCGCTGGCGCCGGAGAAGAAAGTCGCCGGAGTTGGAGGAGAAGGCCTGAAGCACAAATCGCAAAGTTCATCCGGTGGACCAAAATCTGCAAGATTTGGAGGTAGATTTTCAGTCAACATATCGTTAGCATTTATCGGCGAAAAAAAATGAGGGCCCTAAATGTGTTGGGCTGATATATAGCCCACAGTTTATTGGGCCCACTTGAGGACCAAACATTAGCTCTTTAGGCCCATTTTTTAGGCCCAGTCGTTGGGGAAGCCCGACGATGGCGAGCAGTCCGCCGCAACAGCCGACGACGGCGGCGGGAGGCGCCGGCGTTCTTCCCGCCGCCGGCGCGCGCGGTGCCCGTCGCCCTGGACGCGATCCTGTCGCGGCGCGTGGGAGCTCGGTTTCCCGCCGCCGACGATGTCTCCCTCTGCCCGCCTCGCCGCGCCGCGCCTCGCCGCGCATCCGAGGACGGGGACAAGCCCAATCAATGCCCTGCCGTGGCGGCCTCGCCGCCGGCCACCTCTGCAACCTCGCTTCTCCTGGTAGTTCCCCTCTTTCCATGCTCTGCATTTCCCTGATCTGGGTGCCCGTGTTTTTGCTCTCGTGCTAATGGCTAGCGAAATCAAATCCCAATGCGTAATGCGATACGATACGCGTTCCTCGTACTTTTCCCCTCGGTGAACTGATCACGGAATGGATTCTCGCTTAGCCCATTCGAGGCTCTCGCATCGCATTCATGTAATATCGATTGAATTCCTACCGAGGAATTGGATATCGAGACGAATTTCGTTTCCCCATGCTTAGGGTGATATGATGATATCAACTGATTGATTTACAGTTTACACCTTCAAACTTTTTTGCTTATAATGCTCGTGATCGTACAGTTTACTCCCTACTGATGTAGTGATGTTTAATTACATGGACGTTCAAGATTTTCCTCCTGTGAGGGTGAACTTTTTAAACCTCCCCAGGAACATCACTAAAATTATCATCAGCTTACCTTCGTCGGTCCACTTGCCGACGAACCCATATGAAGTAGCTTTGCAGGTAGCATCAGGTTTCAGCAACCTCTCGCAGCTATAGCCTAGTGAGTATCCCACATTGGCGTATGCACTGTGAAAGAAAATTTTGCATCATTGCTTGGAAGGTGCAAACATAATTTTCTTTTATGCTGACCTTCTTCATATTTCTTTTCCATGCACATAGTTAATTTGGAAGGCCATTGTTGAGGGTAGTAATGGTTTCAAAGTTGGGGGATGGAAATCATTCCTATTTCCTAGGCCATAGTTGAGGGTTTTCCTAGAAATAAGGATGTGAACTTACCTGATAATTTTGAATGCTATGCTGAAAATGTTGAAATTTAGTGGATCAGTAGATATTGACTTCCTTTCTGTTATGCATGCTATAATTGTGAATATTGCTAAGCAAGCAGACTTTGAAATGATAAAATTCTTCCATATGGCCTGATCATTTGAATTTCTTCCTCGTTCTGTCAAAGGCTTGTTATCAGCATTGATAGGGAGAGCTGAATTATCAGAAGGATAGTACCTGCAAATAAGTTAATGGCATGTTGTCATTGAAGTTTACGTGGGTACTAGCATGCTTTTCTATTTTTTTGATGAATTGACTATCTGGATTGTGGAATCTGTTCTTCTCCGCCATGTTGTGACCTCTGTCATAGTGCAGGATTTTATGGTTGTTTTGATTTTGTTCTATGCATTTATCTGCTTTTTTTTCTTTTTCGAGTACACAAATTGCTGACTTAGCTGTAGTAAACAAGTATGTTTCTCACCGAGACAGTGTTCATACTTCCATGTTATTATCTAGAACTTCATTTAAACTGAAACTCTTGCGAGAACATAAGGCTGGCCTTCAACAAGTGAACTAGTTTTGTGTTCCTTTATTAAGATAACTAAGCAATTTCAACCAAAAAATATCTGAAGATTTTAAGCTCATAATTGTTTATGTTGTTTCGTTCTGAAATTATGTGCTTAATTTATCCTTTGCAGTTACTGATGGTGATTGTGCCATATTTATGATAAAATTCTGAAAGTCCTGATAAATGCTTCAAAATAATAAATATTATGAAATGTTTATAGGGAATACTTACATGACAAGTGCAAATAGAACTAGTATTGGACTCAATGACAGCTTCACCAGCATGCCTTGTATTCACAGTTTCACACTCTGGAACAATGAGCAAACCAACTTTTCAAATCAGTTCATTCCATTTAAGGCACTTGAGTTCCACTCAAAATAGGAAAGAAACATCACTTGCAGCAGAACTAGCCCCCCAACAGTGAGAACCATGTTGACTGAATTCTTCTGCAATTGCAAATACCTGTAGCCAGTATCCTCTGGATGCTGAAGGATGTAGGCATATTCTTCTCTTCTGCTAACCTTCCTCAAGATCCATATGCTTAACCTCAATAGTGGCGATAATATAGTGTTGCCTGCTAGAACCTGTGGGGTAACCAGAAGTTATAGACTGGATTTCTTTCTGAATATTGCCATGTTATCATTTACCGGGGTGAAGCCGCAGTTTGCAAATGAGGATACTGCTGTGAAGATGGAAAACGTCCATATTTTGATATCTTTACTCTTCAGGAGTTGTCTTGTATCTGAGTCAATCTGAGCAAAAATAATAATGACTAAGGAGCTGCAAACAACAGCTGCTATGAAGTAGCCTGTCACTATATGAGCCAACATATTGCGGCACTTCTGTTTCATGGTTCTGCTTCCCTGTACCCAGTTAAGTGATATGGTTGCTTCTGATTGGAAGCCTTGTGAACTATTTTGATTGCTATCATTTACAGCATCAAAGGATTCAATATTCCTTCTCGTCGAAGGTGATCTTTTTGGGAGGACTTCGTTTGTGTTGGTCTCAGCATTGTTGAAGTGCAGCGCCAGCATTGAAATGGATACTTCTCCTCCCAATATCATCAGAAGTATTAACACCCAGAGTTGCTGGTTAGAAAAGTCTTCCATCTCTACTGTTGCCATGCTTGAGACTGCTGCTGTGGACACAGAAGTGAACATCAAATCCAGGTCCCTTGGAGTTGGCTTGTGTCGTGGCTTGAGGATCTTCAGAGCAAGGAAACCAACAAAGGATATTGAGATGAAGTACACAAGTTGAACTATTAATGGATTGCTTTGGAACATGAAAAACCAGAAACAGCGTCTGAAGAAACACACTGCACATTTGGAGAGGGAACGAAGCCTCATGGAGATAAACACATGGAGGTGCTTAACTTTCTCTGTAATGTCCCTAACCACTTGGAACTTGGGCTGTGGGATTTTCATGGCTAATGGCAGATGCTGTGATGTAACTAGGATTGAACTGAATGGATGCATCATTGGAGGTTTGTGGGCATAGTGTTCAGTATGCTGGAGTTGGCTACTGGAAGGTGTTTCTTAGGTTTCAATGATTCTGTCTTTGCCACCATTGCTCACTGCAACCAAGTTCTGGATCTTAATATGTAGGATGGTGTAAGACAGATGTGCCCATTTTGCAGAATCATGATGCTGATGGTGTGTACAGGGCCCCAACCCAGGCATGATTGGTGTATGCACAAGCATGTGCTTAGAATATTATAATGCCTAACTACTATATGTTCTTGAGTGAAATGATTGTCAGCAATTAGAATCCTTCATTCACATTTTTTGAGTCATAAGAATATCCTCAATTTAGATTAGCTGTTTGTCTTCACACGTAAACCTGCTCTGCCTCAATAATTCACTCTTTTTTAATCTATTATTATCATACGGTATTGTAAAAAATTAGTTGTGTTCTTCTTTAGCTGAAATCAGTAATGTTGCATGTGCAACTAGTTTTGGACTACAAATTTGTCCCTGTTTTCCTAATAGAATTCACCTGTGTATCATGATACTGAAATTTAGTTATAGTAACCATTATTTTGAATTTACTACTGCATATTGCTGTTCAGTCCATTGTTGAAGATTCTGGTATCAAAGTTATGGCTAATTTTGGTTTTCCTTTGCATTCACTTAATTGAACATTTATATATTTATTATAACAGATTACAATTTGTTACCTCGTTTTATTTTTGTATGTAGCTGAGGTTTATCTTTCAGATTCCACAAATACTAGATTGTTTGCTTTATTGCTATATAATCAACATCTTCTGTAGTGGGAACAAGTGTACCAGAATGCACAATGTGTAGTGGAGATTTTCTTTCCCTTTTCCCTTTTATTCTCTCTTTTTTTCACTGATGCACCCTTGGTTGCACGTGTGTCCTTTTTAATTTCTATCAGAAAAGTGTAGTGACTAGGATAAGCAATCTAGTGTTTTTTCAATCTTTGTGATCTCAGCTCTCAGGTTCTTCTAGATGCCCTTGCTTCAGAAGAAAGTACTTCTGGACGTACTGTATGAACTGATCACCACTTGATAGACATCTACATATCTTTTAACATGTGGGTATTTAAGTATTGCAGCCATCACAATGACATCCGGCCTTTTACTAGCATTACATGGATGCAATAAATGGTCATTGCAGGGAGCCAGTGACAGAAGCATCTCTATGTGAAGTGAATCAGGTTAATTAGCCTATGTTGATTTCTTGTGATGAACTTTCATTCACCTGATCTGAAACTGCCAACACTTGGAGTGGAGGGTGAGCTTTGTGCAAGGATGACAGTGGAAGGTTCCTGTCTATGTGAAAATGAATATACAAACAAACGGAAGAGAAAGAGTACATCTTTATACTTTTTTCCTACCCTCAGGGACCTGCAATGTTCAGCTGGTACTGCATCTAAGATCTAACTAAGTTTCCAGGCTTTGCCTCCTTTCATGCTGAACTTCTTGAGCCTCCCAAAGAACATCACAAAAATGAGTATCAGTTTGCCAGAGTCGCTCCATCTCCCTACGAAACCAGTCCATTTATCTGTGCAGAGATGGTCTGGATTGATCTGTCTACTGCAACTGTAGCCCATTGAGAACCCCACATTTCCATATGCACTGCAAATGTGGGCAGATCCGTCAGATTCCACGAAAGAAAACATTACTATTTTCATTGTGTATTATTAAGATTCAGAAATACCTGACAAGTGTTACTTTGTGTTTTGCTGTTTTCATCAGATAAATTGTTAATTTACTTGGTCTGCATTTTTTTTCTCAGGTAAGAAACCATTTAGTCTGACTTGCCTGACAACTTCGACAACAATGCTTAGCACACTGAAGTTGAGGGGGTCTTCTTTGAGCTTTCTTCTCTCGGTGATGCAGATGGCAATGACAAAGATGGTCAGGTAGGAGAGTTGTGACAAAAGTGTACTCTCGAGCAGTCTGATTCCCTGGTTCTCTGCATTACTATCCTTAGTAGTGGAATTCTCTTCAAATGGGAACCACGTCGTGTACGGAGGTAGATACCTGGAGGCAAGATGAAGCAGAATATGAGACAACAAACGGTACGAGTTTAAACAGACATCAGTTAATTTGCAGCAATCTTTCCAATTAAAGTTTCAGTGATTAGTTGCTTATTTTGGGCATTGAAAATGCATGCATGTCGATGCAGCTGCTTAACGAAATGCGATCAGAAAGTCACCCTTGGGTGGATTATCATCTTCGGATGTTCAAAAGCAGATCATTATTGAGAAATAATTCAGGGAAGGAGTTGCAGCTCTGCTTGTCTAAGGTTTGATCTTTCAGGTGACGTGCAAGAACATTCTGGTGCTTGGTTATATTCTCTGTAAATGATGCGACAATAAGATGAAAACAATGGCTCAACTGACTGGAAGCTTGGATTCACAAGCATATGGCCTTGAGAGAACAATATGGGAACAACTGCTGGCCGGTGAAGAAATTCCTTTGCACGCGCTACGACAATCGGCAGGAGATATCACCCTGCTTTAGCCATGCAGGTCATTTTCAGAGGCACACATCCCAGTTCCTAAACCAGGCTGCAAAAGTTGACGAATGACGACTACTGTGCTCCACTATTTTGTACTCCATGCATCAACTGGGGAAAGATGGCGAATTTTATGGAATTGCATGTGAAAATTGAGCCATAATCATCTGGAAGAACCAAAGATTGGAACAAATTCTAGCAACTATGCGCCTCCCATTTTGACATGAACAAAATTAGAAGTAATAGTCATCAACCTCCCAGGTGACCAGATTTGCTGAGAACGCGGAGAGCATATTCTCAGGTTGACAGAAGGTGTGGCATGTGATGCATGCAGGCTTTTGAATGGAGACTTGGAATATTAATACTCCTACCTTTCAGCAAATTGATTGTGGTGTTCTTGCAAGTTGAAGTGGTGTGCTGCGTTGTGGTTTCTGTGAAGCTAGGAGGAGAGCTATCCTTTTCTTCTTTGGCAAAAATAAAAAAAAATCTGTCAAAAATCTAGGAGAAAGGGTCAACGCACGGTCAACTCCTACCTATGGTCACGAACTGGGAAATGGGACAGTGTTTTGACGTTTGAAACTACTCTCCATCACATGCATCTACCTACCTAAGGCCATTCTCAACCCAATAATTAGGATGATGTCCATAGCATTAAATAAGTTGCTACTTAGGACAAAAAATAATATGCAAGTGAATAAATGAGGAAAGAGAGACATGGTTTCTACACAACATCCAAGACATCATGTGAGATAAGTAGCATTAAATTGAAGTATGAAATAGTGGTGTTTGCATTGGAAGAGTAGTGTCTAGTACTTCTTGATGATGTAGAGTTTATGGAAACCATGTCTAGTGTTATGGGTTGGGACTGTCCTACCACAGAAAAGAAACATGTGTCCTCTTGCTGTGGCCGATGAGCAAATTAATTAGGATACGAAGAATTATTGACGAGTTTATAGTGTTTTGATGTGCTTTTGTCCGTGACTATTACGTACGGAGAAGGGAAGAACCGAAGAAGATTCCATTGCAGAAGAGAACCCACTTGCCACCGGCCGTTACATCTCCTATCATCACTCGTTCACTATTAGTACTTGTAATTTAATTTGTCATTATGATATGACCATCCGATATTTTACTCAATAATTCAAGTGGTTTTGCAGTTTCCACCTGAGAGATCCTGACATTTTACACTCAAGGACATCGATGCCAAGTGCCACTACACTCGGCAATGCAATAAGGTTGCGTTCTTTGCAACACTCTTACGTTTTTCGCACGCACGTTTCTTAAATTGTTAAATAGTATGGTTTTTATAAAAAAATACTTTAAAAGAGCATATTAATTAATCTAATTTTTAAGTTTTTAAAGCTAATACCGAATTAACCAAGTGCTATTAGACCGTTCCATTTTTCATGTATGAGAAATTTGCTTTCAACCACCGGTAACGAACACAACCTAATACACTTTGGGACAAAGGTATTGGCATTGTGTCATTGTTATGGGTCGCATGCATGGCTCACCTCCACATATATGCATGTTGCAACGAAACATTTCTATGTATTTATAGTTTGTGATTTAATCGCAAAACATGCTACTAACAATGTCAAAATTGGTAGGAGAACTAATGAAAAGGAAAACATATGTTCTAGAGGTCCGGAGAGTAAAGTTAACATGCATGGTAAAACTAGTTCCCATTTTAATGTGATGATGTAAATGGTTTGCGTACCTACTAGCTACTCCCTTTGTCCACAATATAACAGCATAGAAAGGACAGGACATATTTAAGTAGTACAAATCTATACTACTTTATCCAGATTCGTAGTATTAAAATGTATTTAGTCTAATTCTATGTTATTATATTTTTGGGCTAGGATAGTAGTAATAAAAGACTATGGTTCTAGAATATTATAGTGTACAATGCAGGAAGCTTGGAAACAAGTACTTCCTCCGTCCTATAATATAAGGGATTTTGAGTTTTTGCTTGCACTGTTTGACCACTCGTTTTATTCAAAAAAATTTGTGCAAATATAAAAAACGAAAAGTTATGCTTAAAATACTTTAGATAATAAAGTAAGTCAAAAAAAAATAATTACAAAATTTTTTGAATAAGACAAGTGGTCAAATAGTAAAAGCGAAAACTTATGAGACAGATGGAGTACTAGCTAGGTTGAAGAGCTGAGACCCTGAGAGAGCTTAGGTCAGAGAGAGAAACAGAGAGCACTCACATCATGAGGACGAAGAGCACGAGGATGGCCGGCGCGAGGATGGAGAGGTCGACGGTGGACTCGCCGGTGTGCCGGGCGTTCACGGCGAGGAACAGCGCGTTCACCACCTTCTCCCACGGGCTCATCCCCTGCAGCGCCCCGCCCCACTCCATGCCGCACACCAGCGCCATCAGCACGGCGACGAACGCCGCCACCGTCGCCGCCAGCATCCAGCACCGCCGCGCCGGCATCAGGTGCGCGTACCCGGCCGCCGCCGCCCTGCCCCCCTCCCTCGCCATCTCCACGAGCTCCTCCCGCCGCGTCGCCGCCGCCGCCGCCCACACGCACGCCGCCAGCAGCGGCGCGAACAGCGTGTTCCCCGCCAGCACCTGCGGCACCAGCAGCAGCTGCAGCGGCGCGTCCCGCTTGAACACCACCATGTTCTCGTTCGTCGGCATGAACCCGCAGTTGGAGAACGTCGACACCGTCGTGAACACCGCGAACGTCCACGTGTTCAGCGACTTGTCCCCCAGCGTCCGCCTCGCGCCCGGCGACGCGAGCACGTACGCCGCGACGGCCACGGCGCCGACGACGTGCACCACCGCGAAGATGGCGAGCACGATGTAGAACAGCGCGCGCACCGCATTGTGCCGCAGCGTGTCCGCGTCCATCGGGCGGCGTCGGCTCGCCGCCTCCTCTCCCGACGACGTCGGGTTCTCGACGTCGCCGCCGTCGATGTCGGCGAGCGCGACGTCGCCGTGGCTCTCGACGCGCCGGGATCTGTCCATGGCGTCGCTCCGCAGCTTGGACCACTTGGACGCGAGCCCCACGAGCGAGACGAACACCTCGCCGCCGAGGAGCATCAGGACGGTGAGCACCACGAGCTGGCCGTTGGAGAACACCTCCATCTCGACGGTGGACATGCTCGACACCGTGGCGGCCGACACGGCGGTGAAGAAGCGGTCGATGCGGCGCGGCGCGGCGCCGGGCTCCCGCACCTTGAGCACCCCGAGGAGGCCGTAGCCGAGGCAGGAGATGGCGAGGAAGTAGGCGACGTGCATGGACAAAGCGCCGCCGGCGAGCGCGCGCCGCGACGTGGGCATATTGGAGCACGCACGCGGCCGCCGTGTGCTCGCTCCGGCGCGGCCGGTGCAACGGCTGGCTCGGCGAGCTTGTGGATGAGCTCCGGCGATCGATCGTGCTGCCGCGCTATATATAGTCGTGCGGACGTGGGAGGCTGGGAGCTATGGCTGAGCAACAAAATAGGCCACGCGTCCTACGTACCACTAACCATTTGATGTCATCCAATTTCGAATAGAGTAATACTCCCTCAATTCTACATTGATTATTATATAATCAAAACCAGAATTTCTAAACTGATTATCATATATAATCATCCTTTCATTTAAGTGTGGCATTATTGTATCTAGGCATGTAAATTTAGTCTACATGCATGCATGCAGTTACAAATGCTCGTTTCTTATGCATGCGAGAAAGTTGAAGTATGCTTGTTTCTATTTTTTCCATCACATAGTCATATTAAGTGAAATATAGGGAAGTTAAGGTTTTCATGATCTTGACTAAAAAGTTTATATAATAATTAATATAGAACGAAGAGAGTAAATAAGAAAAAATGATAAAGTATTTCGTTACTCTCTCCGTTCTGAGCTATAAGACATTTTTATTTTCTGCAAAGTCAATATTTAAAATTTGTGTACTAATGATTGAACCTAAAATATATGGATAGAAACTAAGGCCCAGTTTTTTAGCTACTAACTACTAGATTATGGCATGCATATTTTTAAAACTCCTAAAGATTAAGATTTTCTTTTTGAAAAATGTTCTTCCTATATAGAAATTTCCTCTTTGATGATATTCGATCAGTCTGTTAGATATCTTTTAATTTAGACCTCTCATCATCTTTAATGATGTGCATTTCTTTTCCTGAAGAGCTACAAAAGCACATCCAAAACATGGAAATTGTGGAAACCCTAAGAATTCATTTCAGAAAGAAATAGAATATAAATGATATTTGCTCATATATTCCAAAGACTTGTGCTATTGGAAAATATGTGCTCAAATATTCCTAATTCTCTATGCCAGTCCGCCAAAAAGATTATCCATAATATTCTTAGTCCTTAGAAAGCGAGACAAAGAACACTGAACATTGTCTTGAAAAAAAAATGTATACTTGGTACTCAGAGCTTTGTGGTTAACCTAGCCTACAAATTTCCTATGTTTTTGAGGATTTTATCTTTTTAAAAAATTTTAAGACCTACGGCCGAGAGTTAACAGATCGACTTGGTCTGTATGATTGGATCCTATTCATTCTTGCCTTAGGCTTTTACTTAAACTAATTACTCCCTATGCTTTTTAATAGATGTTCCTATTGATTTTTTTATACACATTTGACCATTCGACTTATTTAAAAATATTATATAGAAATATGTAAAAGATATAAATTATACTTTTAAAAACTTAGTGATAAGACAACTCACAATAAAATAAATGATAATTATTTTTTATATTACAAATGGTTAAATGTGTATATAAAATTTAACCGCATCATATATTAAAAAACATAAATAGTGTTTTGCTTTGTTCAAGTTCTCAAAGTAACAATAGGATTTAGAGTCCCTTTGAATCAAATGATTTTCAAAGGATTGAGACTTTTCAAATTATATGAAATTCCTATGAAATGGCTCATTACATATAGATTTTTTAAAAAACTTAGTAAGAGTTTCAACCTCTTAAAATTTTCTTTGAGTCTATCTTTCCCAATTCCTGTGTTTTTCGTATGGTCCAATCAAACGGCTATTATTGTGTTTTTTTTTCTGTTTTACACTTGTATTCCCATCAAAATTCTGTATTTTTTTTCTGTTCTGTTTTTTTCCCACGATTCAAATGGGTCTAATGATGAGAAGATCACAAAGTACGGGAAAGGGATAACCAACCAACGGTATAGCTAGTCAGGATAGAGATTAGAGAACCCGTACGTAGACACTATCTAGTGCAGAGAGGGCTATAGGGTATTAAGTCGAGAATCTCAACCATCCGATCAGCTGTGGACATTAATTTATAGTGGACCCTGGTATAGTATATCTACTGTATTGTATAGGATTTTTTGCATTTCACAGTAGCGCACAAGACACAAAACACAATTCACATAGTTCCCCTTTTATATTTACTGTAGAGAATCTGTTTCCGTAAATCCAACAACAACCACACACGCGCGCGCGAAAAACGAGTACCGCTAGCATCAGTCGGGGTCGACTCCGACGGCTGGACATTTTATCTCTCTTTCTGTTGCTCGTACGCGTGGATTGCCGGTACGTGCATACGCTCCGGCCAACCACCGAAAATTCCATCCATATATGGCGTATGAAAGCGCGCACGCGCGCGCGTGTGCACGACGCGACTGGCCGTCGACCGGTGGAGCGTACGTACGTGAAAGCGGTGGCGCGGCCACCGCGCGCGAACGCAGCTAGAGAGACCCCGCTTTCGTTGGAGCTAGTAGCTAGCTAGCCTCGCACGGTCGTCTCGCATCGTTTTCCTCTGCTGCTAGCTGCTGGTCGCCTGGTCGGTCGTCCCCTCGATCGATCGGTAGAATTAGCCGCCTCGTGGGTTGGGTTTGTCACGGACGGTTTCTTTCTTTCGCCGGCAGCGACGGGCGACGGCGACCGGGGCGGGCATGCATGCATGTGGCGCGCGCGTGCTGTACGTACATGGCGGTGGTTTCGATCGGTTCATAGTACGTACCACTGCTGCAGAAAACACGATTTTTTACGTACGAGGATGTCTATAGATTACATGCAGACTGTAACTATTAAAATCGACGTCCATTTTTAAATACGATTTCATAAGAGGTTTATATACAAAAATCTATTTTTCACTTATGGACGGATCTCTTGAGACACCGCATGCCAAAACAAGCTTATTTTCGTAGGCGGGTCTGTTAAACGGCCACGTTTTTATATGCTGGCCTATAAAAAAACCCGCCTATAAATATGACATTCCTACTCTATTCCCTTTCAATATGTTCAAAATTGTAAGTCATCGTCCTTATCTCCTCGCCTTCTCTATGTCACCTCTCATTTTTTCATACCCTCTCACCTTATCTCTCTCCCCACTCATTTTTCTCTCCTCTCCCACTTCCTCCTCCACTGGCGGGCGGGTGGTGTGGCGGCGGTGGGTAGGAGGTGCGGCAGCAGCGGGCGGGAGGCTCCTTAGCTCCTCCTCCTCCACCGCCTGGCAAGAACGCGGCGGGCGGGAGCATTGGTGGAGAAGCCATCTTTCGTCGATCGGCCGAATTCCACAACAGTCCCGGATGCAATAAAAACCGGGGCTAAAGATGATCTTTAGTCCCGGTTAAAAAAGGTAACGGGCATATTTGATCTTTAGTCCCGGTTGGTAAAGATCATCTTTAGTCCCGGTTCAAATGCTGTCAGGGCCTGTCAGGCCCTCCGGGATCTTTAGTCCCGGTTAGACTAAAGATCGTAACTTTAGTCCCGGTTGGTATAAAGATCGTAACTTTAGTCCCGGTTGGGATCTCGGGGATCTTTAGCCCACCGGGCTAAAGTCCCACCCCTATATATATATATGTCTTCTTCCTCCTCCAGCTGCCCGAGCAAGCTTCAAAATTTCTTCAAAAAAGAGGGGAGGTCATGCCAAAATTTCTAGTAAATTTATTTTGGTAATTACATACAAATCGGAGGTGCCTAAAAGGTTTGCAACTTCATCCTTCAATGTTTTTTTGTCATATTACATTTGCAGCTATGTTTTGCACACTTTTTTGTCTCCACAAATTTAGTTGTAAGTTGATGAGGGAGAAAATTTGTGTGGGGAAGAAAGAATATATAGAAATTTAGTTGATTTGCTAAAGAAGTTTTTATAACATAGTTGAGAAGGAAAATATAGTGACAGTTAATCTTGAATAATAGAAAATAAAGTAAAATGAACAATTAAAATAAGTACAACACATTAATATTAGTTTAAAACTTTATAAATAGTAAATATATAATTATTCGGTGTAATATTTCATAATTTTTGTATGAATAATGATATGTCATTATTGTGTGACTGTTGAAAGAGTTTGTAATTATTTTATAATTATTGTATGACTGTCATTATTGTACGAATAATTATGTGTGTACGATTTTTTTTCATGTCATGTAGATGGATCGGCAATGGATGTACGCTGACCGGCGGTCCAAAGAGTTTATTAACTCTTTGACGGCATGCACTATTTTTTGAGAGTGGCCAAAGCTAACAGGCAAAAGGGTTTTATTTGTTGTCCATGCAATAAGTGTAAGAATCAGAAGGAGTATTCTGCATCCAGGACTATTCATTTCCACCTTGTTTGAGTCGGGGTTCATGCCAAGCTATAATTGTTGGACATCCCACGGAGAGCAAGGTGTTGAAATGGAAGAAGATGAAGTGGAAGACGACAATATTCCGGACTTTGCTCAGTACGCTGGATTTGAAGGAAATCAAACGGGCGAGGAGGAAAGGGATGCTGATGGTAACGACGTTGCGGATGATCTTGGTCAGATGTTGTAGGACGCCAAGGAGGACTGCGAAAGTGAAAAGGAAGCCCATAAATTGGACAAGATGTTAGAGGACCACAGAACTTCGTTGTACCCAGGTTGCGAGCAGGGGCACAAAAAGTTGGATACCACTCTGGAGTTCTTGCAATGGAAGGCAAAAAATGGGGTTAGTGACAAGGCATTTGGCAATTTATTGAACTCGTCAAGAACATTCTTCCGGAGGGAAACAAATTGCCCGAGACAACGTACGAGGCTAAGAAGATAGTCTGCCTGCTAGGACTGGAAGTTCAGAAGATTCATGCATGTCCGAATGATTGTATCCTATATCGCGGTGAGGAGTAAGAGAACCTAGAAGCATGCCTTGTTTGCAAAGCACTACGATACAAGATTAGACGAGACGATCCAGGAGAAGTTGACGGGCAGCTAACAAAGAAGAGAATTTCTGCTAAGGTGATGTGGTATTTCCCTATAATACCATGGATAAGGCGTTTGTTCAGGAACAAGGGGAATGCTAGAATGATGCGATGGCACGCTGAAGAGCGTCAACAGGACGGGATGCTGAGACACCCCGCCGATGGTTCGCAGTGGCGAAACATAGACAGAAAATTTAAAGAATTTGGAAAGGACGCACGAAACATACGGTTTGGTTTGAGTACGGATGGCATGAATCCTTTTGGAGAGATGAGCAGCGGCCATAGCACTTGGCCCGTTACGATGTGTATCTACAACCTCCCCCCTGGCTATGCATGAAGAGGAAGTACATAATGATGCCGATTATTATTCAAGGCCCCAAGCAACCT